ATTCGGATTCTGTACAATGGCAAAATTCAAAGTAGGTAAATACTCGTAAGTGCTCCTTCATACTGGGCGACAATGCCCGTTTGCACAGACAAATTTAAGCAGAGCTTAGCTTAAGCGTAGCTTAAAATCCATGGCAACGATTATTGAGACAATGGTTGTCATGGATTTTAAGCTACGCTTAAGGGTTGTAGGACAATTCGCACCCGGACAATTCGCACCAAGGAAAATTCGCACCAAAGGTATTTCGCACCCGGACGTTTCGCACCAGGACAATTCGCACCAGGACAATTCGCACCCGGACATTTCGCACCAAGGAAAATTCGCACCCAAGGTATTTCGCACCCGGACGTTTCGCTCCCGGACAATTCGCACTCGGATAATTCGCACCAAAATTTCGCTCCCCTGAGAGGGTATTTTGTGTACGGTTGATTTTTAACATAGAAAGTCGGCTGTGAAGTATTAAATTAACTCAGAGCTTGAAATCTCCAATATTAAATTTTTTGCAAGGGAACCTAAAAACTAACATTAGACAACGGTATAAGCAACGATGAAACTTACGTATAAAAAAGTCAAAAGGTCAAAAGGCGATATCCTAACTAATAAAATACCCAATTAAGGGCTTTGAAATTGGAAACCATCTGCACTTCCAAAATCAGTGCCCGGTTTAGCTAATCTTACCTTGTCATCGTTGACCCAGATCCGGGCATTGCATGTTAAACTAAGAGTCGATGGATCCTTCTTTGCTCTTCTCGCTCGACACAGCCATGATGAGCAGTTTTGGAGTTTAACGTTCTTAGCAAAGAGGTACATGTATCCTTCATAGATTATGTATCTCTTTCCCCTTTTCGTTGTACCGAACTCCATTGTTACGCGCCCCGTATAGTTTGCACCGCCTAAATTTCATATCCATTATCAACTTGTTGTAATAAATCAAATTTCAACTTTTAGCCTCAGGGGCAAGTCCATTTTTGATGATATTTTCCTTGATTTTGGCATTTTAATGTGGCACTTAAATATTTAGATATGTTGGTTAAACAATAGCCATACAATTTGTAGAGGAATAACTTTTTTAATAGTATTTATGAGGCAAGAATTCATACGTACAATCCTATGTACCTTTTTAAATGGAATGGACCATATCAAAGCAGTAGAGATTTTAGGTCACTTTAATAGCATCCATATCACTCAAAATCTGGAATTTAGTACTTATTTTACTGTAATCTCCGTATTAAACATGAGAACACTTGTTAAAAGTACCATGAATGAAAATTTATTTAAAAAAAAAAACAAAAAAAGGTAAAAAGACACTCATCCGTCATGTAAATTGTCCATGCACTCATGTTCACAAGTAGACGGATGCTGCTAAACGCTGGTATCGGTCTATCAGCAAAACTGTCACCTGACCTGACATTTCTTAAACCTATTTACCCAGTTTTATTGTAACAATTCACAATCAAAAGGAATATAAAAGTCTAAATAAAATTTTAACAATTATTATTTGTTAATAGCTGCAAGTTAAGTTTCCTAGTTCTTTAACCTTCGATGTCGTCCATTTAAGGACACATAACGAAATACGTATGTATTGTCTTAAAAGAATCTCAAGTAAATTATAATCATATTTGAACATAAAACAAATCGATTCTTGAGAGTTTCCGTAAAATTAAAGAGATAAGAACTGTAAAGTAACGAAAAAAGCACAAAATGTTGATAAATATCGAGAAAAAAATTGTTCTTGCTATAAATTATATGGCTATTATTTAAATAATATACTGAAATTGTGAAGATCCATGACTCTCAATGGGGTGCTTAAGAAGCTTCGGAGAAATAACACCAAAATCTACCCATTTATTATTATAACAATTTTTATGGGGAGATTTTGGTGTGCATTAGAAACGATACAGAGCTATTTCTGCAAATTAAAATAATTTTCAAAAAACGCTTTGGCACGTCAAATTGATCATGGAAGGAAACAGTGTCTAAAATAAAACTTGCTCACTAATGTCTTTACCTCGCATCGCTGACAGTGCAACCCTTAAAATCTTAAATGATACATCGTTGGTAAGGTCGCCCATGTCTGAATTCGGATATGAAATTTTTTTGGTTTAGTTGTTTCATTTCCAGGGCATTCGACGTTGCAGGTACAAGTTTTCTCTTTTTTATACTTGCAACTGCATAATTTTGACGCACGATCGCATTAGCTTCTATTACATAGTGATCGGCTCGACATCCTTCCAATGACATAAACAACAGCGCGCCCTCAAATTACTTTTAAAATATTTCGAAAATATCAAATCTAAAAAATTATGGTCTCACCAAATTCAGAGAAGGAAAGCCTTTCCAATGATGTCCTATCTTCCTTGTTGCGCAATTACCAATGCTAAGGGTTTTGCTTTAGTACTAGGTATGCCATACAAAAATTAAAAAGGAAGTATATAGGTACTTAATAATTACAAACATTTAAAAGAAAAAATCATCAATATCGACCTGTTCCTAAAACGTTTCAAGATTTTTAAAAGCTTTACTGTTTTGATTATTAACAATCTCTTAAAAAATTGCCAGAATTTTTCCATGTATCTCTTCAAACTATAACATAAATAAGAGTAAGAAAATCAAAAAGAAACTTTTAAGTTCATTCACTACCATAGTTGTAGCAAAGATAACGCAAAAAAATAAGCAGTTAGTGTAATTTTACTCAGTCACCAATAATCAACATAGAGCCATATGTGATCAAAGAAACGTAAAACTGGTTCTAAGAAAACTGGAAACTTTTCTGAACACCACCACAACACTACCACCAGAAATAAAATTTTTTAAAATTAAAAAAGTATACACAAAATCAAAACTCGTGCTCAGATAAATTTTAAAATACCACTCTGTCAAACGTTCAAGAATGAAGATACTATACAGGCGGTAAAGTCCTAATTAGTTGTGGTCATACGTACTTAAACCTGATTTTTCGGACCTAATTACTTTTACCTTGTAATAAACCCTATTCATCTTCCAGAAATAATAGAAAGGATGTCATTACGATATTTCTCTTATTGTTTCTTTATGAAGTGGAATTTGTGTTATCGGGGTCTTTTCAAATTTATCTTTAATTATAATATTATCATAATTACTTATCCAAATTTAGTGCCATCTATGAAATGCACTGTTCTATTGTCATTTATACATACTCGTTTTGTCTAAAATAAATTTAATTCATTTCCTTTGTCACCCTTTTCAACTAATGAAATAAAGGACAATTTTTTATGTGTCTTCATTAAGAAATCTTTATGTAAGGGAGCGTTAAAGTTACTTCCTTTTTCTATTTTCATCTTGATCTTATAATGTAATTATTTTCTCAAAACGAAAGCGCAGTAGATAAAAATTATGTGTTCTTAAATTACAGGATTTAACTATATCAGACCCTTCATACAACTTCAAAAAAAACCAGCGTGATTATATTTAAGAAATGGAAATACTTAAGAATCGCGATGTGTTGAAAATGAAAGACCAAATAAGTATTACTTGAAACATTTTTCCATGAAGTAGATGTTTACTGCACTACTACATACATTCTGTAAAGGCAATCGTCTAGTAGCCTCTTAAAAATATTTAAAAAAAGATTTACAGAATTATCCGGGTGTGAATTATTCGGGAGCGAATTTTTCGAGTGCGAATTGTCCGGGAGCGAAATGTCCAAGGTGTAAAATGTCCGAGTGCGAATTATCCAGGTGCGAATTGAGCGAAATGTCCAGGGTGCGAAATATCCTGGGAGCGAAATGTCCGGGCGCGAATTGTCCGCACACGACGCTTAAGCTAAGCCCCGCTTAAATTTATCGGTACAAACGGGAATTAAGGAGCGCTGCTAAACAAACCAGGGTGAAGGGGCACTTACGAGTATTTACTTTGAATTTTGCAAGTGTAAGCATATGCTCGCTTTTATTCATACGGGCCAATATCTCAGATACCTTAGTCAATTGCAAAAATAAGAAAAAATTAAGTATCGTCAATAATAGTGGAACCGTCTTCCTTTATTCAATGCTTTTTTTATTTAACAAATATAACAAAATAAGCAGCAAGACCAACGAGTGTACTAAGTGAAAGTAAAAAGTTGACAACCTGGGGTACTAGTATTTTTCATAAACGTGGAAATATTTCATCAGTAGTGGTCGTACCAGAATCTATTTTGTTGAATTAATTATATTTCTCAAGAAGGTCTGGTTGACCTCGTTAGGTACTACAAGTGAAATTGTGAATGAATTATTTCTTCACCTATATATTAGTAGTATAATTAAAAAGAATTATTATCATCATTGGTTGCGTTATTAAAATATCTACACCTAATAGGATTTTGCAGTCTACTTCTTTTAGTTGTTGTTAATTGTTAAAGTGCGAGAAAAAATTGCTGCTAATAATATTATTCTTCAAAGTATTGATTAGTCGTATCAATTTTCTTTGCTTGAATTTAGTTTGCTATTGAACTACAATTGCCGCAAATCACAAAATAGAGTTAAATTGATCAAGTAAATTGGGGTTACATAATCGGAAGAATTCGGTAAACAAGATAGCATGAATATTTATTTATGTGTAGGAAATAGTCATTCATTAATAAATATTTGATCAACCATAATTATTCAATTTGTTAAATTAAAAAAAAGAAATTGTAAATATATTTTGCTTGACATAGTAAGCCATTATAAGCAATATGACATAACTACAGAGTACAGACACATGGTTTCTTCTTAACTTTGGAACACAGGCGTTTTCGAGCGTGGCGAAAGTTCTGACGCGATTCTGGGACACAGGAGTAGTGAACGCTATGTAAAAGTGTAGACTTGTTTACAAGTAATAAGCATTTAACATAATTTTTAATATGAAATTCGCATTAAACGCTTCCTTTCACATTCCATTAGCCTAAAATAATACCAGTAACCTACCTGAGGTGCGTGACAGAAGAATGACCATACATTACTTAAATATAACCATCAGACAATACAATAAAATTTATTTTATAGAAAATGATAGCGGAAGATCTTAGGCCGAATCCAGAACTGAGAGGCACAGGTCCAATTGCAGAATGGTACAAAGGGCAATCGATATTTATAACGGGAGCGACGGGATTTATGGGCAAAGTCTTGTTGGAGAAGCTTTTATTTCAGTGCAACGGAATAAAAAACATCTACATCCTCGCTCGATCAAAACGTGGAAAAACGCCCCACGAACGTCTACAGGATATGTGGAAACTGCCAGTAAGTTATTTTTTGCTCCAGTGGTCTCCTTTTGGGTAACCCGCATGTGTTGCATTTTTAGGTCTTTGAACGATTACGAAAACACGAACCTGACGCATTAAAAAAGATAGTCCCTCTAATCGGCGATTGTCTAACTGATAATTTGGGTTTAACTGAAGATGATCGCAATCTGATACGAGAGAACGTCTCCATCGTTTTCCACTGCGCGGCCACCTTGAAACTCGAAGCAAAATTAAAAGACGCGATTGAGCACAATACCGCGGGAACCGAGAAAGTTCTGCAATTGGCCAAAGAAATAAAAAATCTGAAGGCTTTTGTACATCTCAGTACCGCATTTTGCTCCGCCGATCTACCCGAATTTAAAGAAAAGGTCTATCGTACCGCCGAAAATCCCGGAGAGATTATTCAAGTTGCCAAATGGATCAAGGATGACGCTCTTGAAGTGGCTACGCCGTTGACAATCCATCCCCATCCCAATACGTACACCTACACCAAACGCCTCGCCGAAACTCTAGTCGCTGATGAGTATCCCCATCTCCCAGTCGTAATCGCGCGACCATCGATCGGTAGGTCATACTCTGCCAATTTATAACCAATCTACTATCACGATTTTTCAGTTACCCCTGCTGTAATGGAACCGGTACCTGGATGGGTTGATAGTTTAAATGGTCCCATGGGTATAATGATCGCGGCCGGAAAAGGTGTGATTCGTTCCATGCTCGTTAAATCAGATAGTCGCGGACAAGTTGTGCCCGTAGATATCGCTATAAACGCGCTAATAGTTATTGCTTGGAAAATAGGATCGGCAAAAGAACGGTAAAAGGTCAAAAGGTTAATTTCAAAAATCGCCGACACGTAGACATTTTAGGCCACCTGAAATTCCAGTATACAATATGACTACCGACCCCGTTATTAAAATCACATGGGGGGAAGTTTTGACAATGGGCAAGAAGATTGCTTACGAATGTCCTTTCGAAGGCCAAATATGGTACCCTGACGGTGACCTTCGTTTGTCCAAGTTTGTCCATCAGCTGTGCTGTTTCTTCTTCCATTGGATACCGGCTTATTTGATCGACTTTTTGATGTTAATACTTGGACAAAAGAGATTGTAAGATAACATATTTTCAACGAATGGGTCTTGATATTAGAGTTCTAGCATGGTCAGGTTGATGCGAAGAATCGATGATGGCTTACAGTTGCTCCAATTTTTTACCACTCGTGACTGGTCATTTGAAAGTAAAAATTTCTTTGCACTTACGACGGACATCACGCCCGTGGAGCGTAAGCTATATTCAATGGACTTCGAAATTATACCAATTTATGAATATTTGACCGTATGTGTACTCGGTGCCAGACAGTACATTATGAAAGAGGACCTATCCACTATACCACGATGCCGACGAATTCAGTTTGTGTATGTTCTCTAGTGTATTTTTTATAATATGCACTTATAAACTTTTATTTCAGGCTATACCTTGTGGACAGGTCATTCAAGTTGGCATTTTATTTAGGACTAATTTGGATATTGTATTGCTGTTCGGAAAGCGTTCAAAACATTTTCGATTGTGTTGGCACTGTGTTGCAGCGATTTCCTTTTCTGGGTTTCTTCATACCTAATAATAAATCATTATAAAGCATTTTTAGTCATAAACAGGCGTTGAATGTCATCTAGTCAAAATACATTCGTTTTTAAATGTTTTCCATAAGTATGTGTTGGTACCTTGAATACTCTTAAAGGTTTTATGGGATAGGTTAATTTTATGCAATTGTTAAAAGTTCGTACAATAAAAGTTAATGCCAAAACCAATCCTTAATAAAATGGCGGGTTCAAATAAGAATGCACTGTCATCCGAATATGAATTGCGTAATATCCACGTAGATCAGCGTAAAGGGTACCTATTCCAAAAGAAAGAACGACGAGAAACTTAATGGGAATCTCAAAAACTTTGAGTGAAGGTTAAACCCTAAGAAAACATACGTAAAGAGAAAAATACTCAGTAATAATGTAAGATGCCAGGTATTGTTAATATGCAAATACAAATCCGTAAAAACGATTCAATGGAGCCACCACTGATATCAGAAGAAAGAGCAACCACTCCAAAGGTAAATATGGTAAAGTCAAACTCAGCCCTTTTCATGCAGACGCCAAATCAGAGAAGTAATGGCGTACCACAGATATACTTTTCTTTACGTATATCTGTGGGCGTACTAAGAGAAAACATTTGCATTTACCAAAAGACTCTGTTAAACAATTGGAAATAATAAACCCTGATATTGCATTTGTCAACTTACACAAGGTTCATAATTATCAAGGGTATTATGTTTGATTGAAACCACGGATAAGGTCTGTACCACAGATGAGATCGACATAAGTACTAATTGACCATTGCGTGGTAGGCATGTGGAATATAATGGCAACTGTATTTAAACAATCAATTTAAATACAGTTGTTTAATTACTCCGCATACGATTATATTTACTATTTACTACGAAATGCTCACATAGAAACTATGTCAACGGTATACATAAAAGCACAATCCAGAAGTTATCGGTAGGTAGTATCAATTGGCAAGAAAATTATACAAGGCCACCTTCATTAATAATGTACATAGAGTGCCACCATTTTGAATTTCTTGTATATCTCGATTATTTTCGGACTTGATTCTAGTCTAATTTGTGTTGTAATTGCTAATAGTGAGGGCAACATTGGTAGTAGGTAAGTATTACCATTGAATTTATAGAGTTATAAATTCAATGGTATTATTATTTAGGTACTATTGCACAAAGAGGATACGCGTGAACGACAATCTGCATTTAAATTGTCCTCAATTTGGCAACGTACCGAAAGGAAGATGTAACGTGCCTTTTTCCTGCTTGAATTTATTTAACATGCTAAATATACTCTCGTTTATATTCTATATATTCGATATACTTACGCCATCTATAGTCAGTGTTGAATTGTACAAATATTAGGTCCCGTGTGCAAATAAGTGAAGCAATATTATGCGATACATCAAAATACTCGGAAAAATGTGTAGAATACGAATTTCTATGGGGCGCATCTCGCAAAGGTCGCAGAGGGGTTAAAACTACCCTTATAGCGTCCTTTTAAATATATTATTAAATAATTGCATTTTTTTGGTTAAATTCACTAATGCTTACTTAAGATAATAAAAAATACTGTGTTTTACTAAAAAATTAATATTAGGAAGACTCAACAGTCACTACTTGAAGGGTTGTAATTTTTAATAGTGTAGGTATAATTTTACTTAAATATAACTTTACGTTAAGTTTGATATTAATGTTAATTTTGTTTATGTTCTGTAATTAATATAGTAGTTATACTATTAAGAAGTATAAGATAGGGGTTGCAACCCCCTTTACCTAAGGATTAGAAAATTGTTTGTAGATCCATAATAATATAAACACCTAATAGGATTAATATATAAAAAATTACCCGTAGTGCGTTCGAAAATAGGTGGGCATTTTCTGGAACAATCGGTTTACTTCGCCTTTTGTAAATAATGGTTTCAGCATTGCAGTTATTGATGGTATGGTGGAAGTACAATATAATAATAATAATCTTTATTTCCTCTGGACATATAAAAATGTATAGGACACGTCAGTAACAATAACAAACAACATAAATAGCAATAACATGTGAGGTGGATATTATCACAGTCTACATAGATACGTGAAGTATGTTTTGATATTGTATTGTCAAATAATGGCTTAACTTCAAGGTAAGTTCTTGTGAATGAATTCCGTAATCGAATAGTAGGAGTTTTGATGTAAAATATCTTTAATTATTTTTTTGATTGGTTTTATTTGAAATTGAAATTTGAAATTTTATGTTTTCCTGTGGTGTTATAGCTGTGCAAGTCGCCACATTTTGTCAGATTATTTCATTTAGCATTTACAAATGCTCCTGCTAAAAGAATGCATCTACCTTTCTGGCCTATATGAGCATTTTTCAAATAAACTGTGCTTCATATTATTCAGAAACACACGTTATTCTTGATAATTATGATATGGGCTCAGTTAAGTCATCGGAAAGAACCAGAAGGCAAAATGGTACAGACCCTATACGATACCATTTTGACCAAAAACCGATATAAAATATAACCATTAAAAAAGCTTTTGTCCTCACACCTTCACTAAAGACGATATAACTGAGTATTTTTCAAAAAATCTTATTGCTTTAGGAAATATGTGTGATAAAAAGATCCTTTGTTCTTATAAAAATACGGTGCTTTGTACTGTGATGTGAGGCGATATGAACCACTTAAAGATTTCACACGAAGAAGTCGATATCAGAATGATTCTTCATTCTTTAGATGCATCTGAAAGGGGAGCAAAGACAGTAAGAATGCTTTCGCCAGATACAGATGTTTTGTTATTGGCTGTAAGACGAGCTCCATTATTACCCAAAAATACCATGTTTATATGTAGTGGTTCTAGCAGTTGTGAAATGCCTTTACAACCAAATTAGGAGGCTCTTGGACCACTCAACGCTGAAGCACTTCCAGGTGTTCATGCCCTTTCAGGATCAGATGTATCAGGGGGTTTTAAGGGCAAAGCAAAAATTTTTTTTTGCTAGTAAATATCAAAATATTAACATATTGCAAATAAAATTGTTTAAACGTATTTAAAAAAATTATAAAAAAATTTACCGTATACCTAAAATATAAAAAATTTCAATAAAAAAATTAAAATTAGTTTTTGGAAAAAGTTCTTAAAAGAAACTCCATCTACACTTCAGGCATTGGATTCTTTAGGTAAAAACCAAACACTAAGTGACTCTGATTTTGAGCAGATCGAGGGTTTTGTCTGTTCTTTATATTCAGCATCAAAAACATGTTTTAAAAGTCTAGCAGAACTAAGATGGTGATTGTTTGCACAGAAGCAAGTTTCCACTGATAAAATGCCTCCAACTCAAGCAGCGTTAAAATCGGCAATACAAAGATGTCACTACCAATGTATTGAATGGAATCGGGATACACAGCCCGTTTAATTACTCGATGCTCAGCCGAATTTACCGCCACCAACGGAATACGGTTGGAAATTGGACAACGAAAAATTTGAACCCATTATGTATACCTACTCTTCCTTGGGCACCCGAAGAAATACTAAATGTTTTAAAATGTTCTTGTAAAAAAAATAATTGTCAAAGGTGCAAATGTTTAACCCAAAAAAAAATATGTTGTACGAAAATGTGCGAATGTGAGGCTGATCCCGAATTTTGTTCAAACATTGAAATAGATAAAAAACTACTGATTCTGACGATGCACTGGATAGCGATTTCGACAACGAGTAATAAATCCATTTTTAGAATAAAAAAAGCTGTAAGTATCAACTCTGTTCCGTTAAAACTATGCAAATATAATATAAATATAAAGCATTCTTTTCTTCTTTTGTCCATCCCTTTCTTCTTTCTCTCTTCAGCTGGTACCCCTTATAGACAATCTAGCAGACAAACACATTTTACAAAATAGTTTCAGCTATTTTTCGTCATTATTTTTATATAGGGGCTGTTTAAAGTTGTTTAAGGGTAGTTTTCTCCCTTCCGGTACCCCTTACAGGTTTGCTCCATATAGATTCAAGCAAATATATACATTTTGGAAAATATTTTTAGCTATTTTTTTTATCGTAATATGTATTTTTGTATAGGGGTTGTTTTTTCCTTTCGGCCAGCCCTGAGAGTTGTGATTACTATGTAATCGTTAGTTTACCGATCGATAGAGGCGATCCTAGTGTTAGAGGTTTCTTTCACTTACTTCTTTGCCCTCTTTGTACCTTTTTGCACTTAGATATCGCTTCTTCAAGTTTATCTTGCTCGCGCAGTTGTATTTTTTTCCTCGATCAAGTTTCTGCTTTCGCATTGATTACATGCAAATGTCTCTTGGTACGCTTTTCACGTCTAGCTGAAAGGTGTTTAGTGTTTTGGCTTTACCATGTATCTTTGGAACGGTTTCTTTCTTTCTCTTTGGTGTCTGTGGTGGCTCCATTGAATCGTTTTTACGGATCTGTAATTTGCATTCAAAAAATAGGAGGTATGTTAAATTATTACGCACTTATTAGGGCTTTTCACTCAACTCCTAAGTTTCTGAGTTTTAGTTTAAATCCTTATCTGCTCCTTGAACTCGTCGAACTCGATGACGTCGCTGTCTCCTTTTTTCTCAAGTTAGACGAGTAACACACGGACAGACGAACGGGTGGACAAAACCATCACATACGAAATCGCATTACATTCCAAAAAATGAAAAAACGCACACCCCAAAGGTACATGTTTGGAGAATTTCATTATCTCTACAAAAATGTTGTCATATCATAAGGAGCATCCAACAAATATTTCACTAATTAAGCTGTCGATATCCATGACGACATCACCTGATAAAAGCAAAAAAAATCAGCATAATTAGCGTCGCTCTTATCGTTGCTCGGCTGCCAAGCGTATATCAACGCGTCGTTCCAATATAAACACTTCCATATAAAATGAGATCATTTTCTAGTACCTATCGTCGGTCTTATCGTTTATTGCATAGCTCCAACATAAACAAGTTAAAAAGTAATCGTAAACAATTTACATAAAGCGCATTTCCACTTGCATTCATTTCCCATTTGTAAGATGCAACTTCTGTTAAAATCGTAAAAATCCGCCCACAAATATGAAAGATAGCGTTGCACATGGGCAATCC